TTTTTTTTTTTTTTTTTTTTTTTTTTTTTTTTTTTTTTTTTTTTTTTTTTTTTTTTTTTTTTTTTTTTTTTTTTTTTTTTTTTTGTGATTACCCTCTATTTTCTAATACCAAAAGTGGGGATCTTTTATGTAATAGAAAGATATAAACATAGAAGCAGGTACATAACATCTTTTTAAAAGATGAGAAACATAGAAACAGGTATGTAACATTCTGACCTCAGAATCAATAAAAACCAAATTATCAAATTGTTAGTAGTCAAAGGAATCAGTTACCTGCCAAGAAAAACTCTGGAAGGTGATTATTGTGAAAAGGGAAAAAGTTTCTAAGACCCTGGCAGTGATTAGTGGCATTAAAGCATGTTCAGGGTAAATAGTACTCACATGAATCAACGATCAGTTTGGAAAATGTTTCCGCAATTCTTTTCTACTCGATGGAGTATACCTGAGAATCATGCCAGTAAAAATTCCTCAGAAGCAAGTTTTACAAAATTAGTAGGAACAATTTCAGAAGGGCATAAATTTCTCGTAGTTTTCGAAGTTAATAATTGAAAAATGAAAAATGAAAGTTCATGTTTATCTTGCTTAAGATAACATGAAGTAGGTCCTACCTGGCGCTAAAATGTTTGCCTTGTTTGAGTTGCTACGTTTCAAGGCCACAATTCAGTCGATAGACATTGCCTGGAAAGGGAGAGAATCCGTAATTTCAAATAAACTAGCAATTGACGTGACGATCACTATCAACTTTGAACATTGGATAATGAAAATGACCAAAAATAGAGAAAATACACGCCATACCCTAGCCCAACTTCGAGTTCCTGCCCAACTTTTTGGTTAATATCTGTTGAATCCCCTATCAAATTCATCGATGTTCCTTTTGGAAGCTGCGTAGATCCTCCTATAAGGGATTACCAAGACTCTAAAATGTTGGGCCATTTCACGTCTGGATCATGCTTCTTTGAATTTATAACTACTTGATCTTCATCAATATACCTGTTCATCATAGAAATGTCATGTTTAGACATTAAGACTCATACTATTTGTAGGAGGCTATGTACCATAACAATGGAAAACCATATAGTTTCTGCAGGTTTTATTTTCTCAAATTGTTGTTTCGTTTCCAGAAAAGTAATAGTCGATCCCAAGCATTGTACTTTAATTATCAACGAGGCTTGATTTGCATCCACAAAAACATCTTTTGAACTACCAATTTCTTGTGTCCCAAGTTGTTATCTCAGTTCCACTTCAGAAGAACCATTGGTGAACTACATGAAACTTCATCCAGTAAGTAGGGGGGATAAAAGACTGGTGAGCGAAATAAAAAGTAATTCCAACTACACATGCTCCCAAAACAACAACTATAATTTTTCCTTCCGTTTCTTAAGCTAATCTAGGTGGTCATGATGCTAGCACAAGATAACAAGATAATGGAGGCAATCAATCAATAGAGATTGATCCAAAATCTTATTCAAATCCAATATTCAAATCCAATATAACACCTATGGGTATATAAGAAATGAATTGAATCATTCTTTTTAATGAATAGATCCGATCGCAACTTCAAATATGGAATTTAAAGGGATCAAATAGGAAATGATACTCTAAAACTATAATGAAATATACGATCAACCAACCTTTATCAAATTTGAAAAAGGATAAAGAAGAAATGGAATTACAAGATAAACAAACCAGTTTGTTCCAAAGATTGTACATCGCCAATAAACAATTTACCTATCTCAGACGACACATCATACAACGCACAAATTTTCATTACACCTTCCACGATACATCCGCACACAAAACTTTGGCTCTCTATTCTCTAGTTCCTCGACGTATGTCAATCAAATACATCATTACTAAAGATAGCAAGAATCAAATTCCTCTTTGAGTCATAAATCCCAACAATAGTCAGTTCAGATGTAATCCTTCTCGCTTTCGGAAGGCAATGCGAAAATGTCTTCCAATAAACACTTCCATTAAAAAATCCTGAAATATCAGATCAGTCCTAAGTTTGCATCACAAAAAACACAAACCATCTAAGAAGAAGTACCTCATAATCCAAAGTGCGAACTGGAGCGGTGCTGGAGGAGCAGTTGCGAGTAAAACGGTAACCTAAACGAGAAGTTGGAAGCGAATTCGACGCCATTAGGGCTAAAAGAGAAGATCGGAGAAGAGAATTCGAGGTTTTCGATAGGGTTTGAGCACAGGCAAACCTCGTTGAAGCCATTAGACCTTCGCGCTGAAAGAACCTAACAATTGGATAAGTAGATTGCAGAAGGCGGGATCGGCCATCCGTTCCCGGAGTCTTTTGAATTCGATATTGGGCTCCCTAAAATAAAGCCCAAAACTTGGTATTTATACTATGGGCCAAATACGCCTTTTCAGGCCCAGTCCAGTTTTCACCAAAAATAGGCCCAAATATATTCTTCATCACTAATGGGTCATTTGTTTTGTTTTTTTGTTTTTTTTTTTTTTCTAAATCTTACAATTCTTCCTTTCTTTTTTAATTTTATAGTAATTTTTTTATATGAAAAAAAAAAAATCTTTGAAAAAATAGTTTTTGTTTTTTTTTTTCTTATCGCTCGCTCCCAATAGAAGATCTGATATGATATTTTCATCCCAAGTAGCTTCAAGCTTCTTGCTCGAGTTTTTCTTTTCATCCAAATCAAGAAATTAGAAATCGTCTATTTGAGCTACCTATTTCAATTCTAGTATCTTTTTAGAGTCAAGATTACGAGACGAAACAATTCTTAGTCTTTGACGGGAAATTCCTAGTAAGCGTGAGTCATTAGCTCGCGTCGATTACGTCCCTGCACTTTGTACACACCGCTTGTCTCTACTACCAATTGAATAGTTCGGTGAAGTGCTCAAATCGACAGTAAACATGGGTTAGCTCAAAAGCATGCAACTTTAAAGCTTAAAAGGGTTAGTTTGCAATGCAACTTTCTATGTGTCACGTGATGGGCTATCATTTCTTGGAAGAAAGTTTGAATTTTTATTTTTATTTACATTTTTTATTAAATTTATTAAAGTAATTTTTGGCACAAATGGGCATGGCCCATAAGGCTTGGCATTTTATTGAATGTCAAAGTTGGTCCATAGTTCCTTTAATGTGGATTATCTATCACTTAATATTTTTATTTTTTTCAGAAAAAAAAAAATGTATTTCTATTAATAAAAAAAAACATATAATTGGATAACGACGTATGATAACAGAGATTGTTGTATCTATTGAACCATAGCCCGAGAAAATATAAATTATGATAAAATTTGATTAAATAAAAAATGATATAACTCGAACCGACGTTTTTTTCTACATATATATATTTTTTTAATAAATTCAATAAAAATTATTTAAAAAAAAAAAAAAAAACAAGGTGGGTCCCAATGAGATAATATATACAATTCAGCACATGTCACATCCTTACATCTCTTTTTATACTATGCATTTCCAAAAAGCTACTCATTATGAATGAATGATTCACTGCAGACTTTGCATCATTTTATTACACATAAATAAAATAAAATAAAATAAAATAAATTAAACCTTTTTTTTATTATTTATTAAAATTCTATGTCAGTGTCAGAGTGTCACAGGTTCTGACAACATATTTTTCCTTCCCCACTCCACCCCTCTTCATTTTCCTATTTTCAATTTGGTCCCTCTTTCTAATATATATTTAAAACTAATGAAAGAAAAATATTTGAAAATAAATAAATAAAATTTTTATTAAAAATAAATAAAATTGAATAAATGATGTGAGAAACCCGAACACTTTAATTGAGTCTTTTTTTATATTTGAAGTATAGAAAAAAAAAATAATGGTTTTAACTTGTATTTGATTTGATTTAATTTTGTTGTCGCTCGTACTGGAAGGGCTAGAAGTGAAATAGGAAGAATGTTTGGGGCAAGGAAGAAATAAAAGAAAGATGTGTATATCTATTGTAATTTTAAATATATTTTAAAAAATTAAAAAATGGAGGAAATAAATAGAGAAATAAATTATAAATAGCCCGCCTTGAATGCCGGGCAGAAAAGGAAATGACTGCCCGAAAGGACAGGACTAAGAAGGAATGGTCGCAATCAGAGGGTGTGGTAGGGTTTGGAGTGCCCGAGCTGCCCGAAAGAAAAGGGGGGAAAAGACAAAGGAGCGACACTGGTGCTAGAGTGACAGAGCGGTCAGCGAGGCGTCAATCATAAAGCAATGGATTACAAAATGATTTCGATATGATAATAAATAAATAAATAAATAAAGCGCCTCGATTGTTTCGCTGTATTTTTTAATTCTTTTTTTCTTTTAGCGTTCTAAACGGTGATTGGCGGTGACGCTGGACGCTGTGTCTTTGACCGTGTCGCTTAGCCACTGCGGCTCTTTTTGAGATGTCACCTTCACACGTGCGACGGATTTGAAAGCGTGTGTGCATTTCTTTTTTCTTTTTCCTTTTTTTTTTAATCATCTCTCTTTTTATGTCACCACGGGGAATAATAATTATCCCCTTGGCCCTCGCGAGAATATCGCCTTATAATGCGTTGTGTTTTATTGTAAGAATTTTACAAAATAAACTTTTTTTCTCCTTTTTTTTTTTTTTTTAATTTGTCCTTTTTATGTTTTTTTTTTTCATTATCTATTTCTCTAATTAATATATATATTTATTTATTTATTTATTGAAGGTCTTAAAAAAATATTTATGTAGAAAATTTTACACAAGATAAAATTTAAAAACTATATATTAAATTAGTTTAATTTTTTTTAGTCAAACTTAAATTATTTTATGATTAGCGTGTGTCGCGTTTTAAGTGGTCAATACAATAAATTCTAAAAGAAGTATATAATTGAGAAATTTGTAATTATTACAATAAATATATATACTTGTGAGACAAACCAAAAATTATTGATATATTCATAATTATCATTTTTTTTAAATAATTCTTTTAGACGTATCGAGGTATGTGCATTATTGAAGGAATGAAATTGGTCGACAAAATATCATATTCAACTCGATGGTCCAACCAAAATTTTATCATAAGGTGATAAAATGCTTTTGTTGTCATCTTTTGTGTCGAGTCGTTATCAGACATCGAGTTCACCCAATTGTCATTTTAGGTATGTACAATTTAACTGATACACACTATCCCGAATATTGATTAATAGACAATACATTAATCACTATCACGAAGGTTGATAATTCATTCTACACCTCACAATAATTAAATTAATAAAAAAAATGAGCAATTTGTGGTAATTTGAACGAGTGATCGATAATAAATAGATAAAATAATAGACGTAGCTAGCTGAGTTAGCGTTTAAGGATGTTTTTTAGGTTACATTACAAGTTCAGTGATGGACTGTGAAATCCTACATTGGTTGGAGAGGGGAATGAAATATTGTTTATAAAAGTGTGGAAACCTCTCCCTAATAGACACGTTTTAAAAATCATGAGGCTAACGACGATATATAACGGGTCATAGAGAATAATACCTTATAGCAGTAGGTTTGAACTGTTATAATTGGTATCAGAGCTAGACATTGAACGATGTGGTAGCGAGGACGCTAGGTCCTCAAATAGGTGAATTGTGAGATCTCACGTGCATTCTTATTTTTTTTGTGTGTGGAATCTTGAGAATTTGAACGAGTGATCGATAATAAACAGATAAAATACTAGACGTAGGTAGCTGAATTAGCGTTTAAGGATTTTTTTTAGGTTACGTGGTGAACGGTGAAATCCCATATTGGTTAGAGAGGGGAATGAAACATTCTTTATAAGAGTGTGAAAATTTTTCTCTAATAGACACGTTTTAAAAATAATGAGGCTAACAACGATACATAACGGGTCATAAAAGACAATATCTTCTAACGATAAGTTGAACTGTTACCAATGGTATTAGAGCCAGAAACTAAGCAGTGTGTTAGTGAGTACGCTGGGTCCACAAAGAGGCGAATGGTGAATTAGATTCTATTAATAAAAATATTCCTATTAAAATAATCGTATTTTTTTAATTAAAATATTTTTTAGTTCCACGAATATGAATTAAATAATTAAATAATATATATAGAGAAAAGAAGTTGCACAAAAGTTTCATACCACTAGAAGTTACGCAATGATTCTTTAATAATTTATAATTACATGCAAAAGGAAAAAAAGAAAAAAAAAAAAAAAAAAGAATTCTCGAGACTTTCACAAGGATGTGGAATTGGGTGAAATCAAGGACGGTAGGGTTCAGTAGCACACGTCGCTTTCTCAGATCTGACGGTAGGCAGGGACTACAGGGAAGGAATCGAGGCATTGGAATTAAGCCACGTGTAAAGATAGTGGGCCCCAAAACGAAAATATAATGATAGTTAAATAATTTGACATTCTCTTCTGCGAATGAATGTTATTGACTGACGTGGGTGTTGCTGGTAAAAAGGTAATTCTGAAAGCTGTAAAAATAAATAAACAAATAAATAAATAAATAAATAATTGTGCATGCTATACGGAAGATGACGCTGCTTCTGCCGTCTGTACGACGTCGCTTTGGTGGGTGTGTAAAATTTGGCTCCTTATTTTTAATTTAATCGTAGTTCTAGGCTTTTTTACAATTGTCAGTTCTTGTCTGCTCTATTCTCCAAATTCCCTTTTTAACTTTTTTTAAAATTACATTAAATAAATAATATATTATTAAATTATAAATTTAACTTTTTTTTCAATATATAAAATGGGGTATTTTTATAATTTTATTATTATTTATTCTTTTTAAATAAAAAAAGTGAGAGATTATAACAAAGCAAATGCCAAAACTTTTTATTTTTTTTTTATTTTTTTGCTTTTAATGCTAACTACTTTTCAAACCTTACGTGCAAAATATATATATATATATATATATATATATATATATATATATAAAATTAAAATTTAATTTAGAAAGAAATAAATAAATAGTAAAATAATTTTTTATTGTTGAATATTTTCATTAAATGAAATAATAAATTCTCTTAGACTTTTGTCAGCATTAAAACAATAAAAAGTAAAGCTGCAATTTTCACTTTTTGGATGTATGCTTTCCTCTCCTTTCATTTTCTTTTTATTTTTTTAATGTACAATTTCCTTTTTGTGAAATAAATGAGAACTATGTTATGTCATTATCATTATTTTCCCAATATTTATTTATTTTAAATTTTAAATTATTTATTATTTCTTTTTCTTAATATATTTTATCAAATTTTTAAAATATATTTTTCATCATAATAAATTATTACTTCTCATTTAATAAAATTATTGTAATGCAAAGAACCAAAAGTATATGTTTTGGGATTTCTA